AAAGATAAGGATAGGGAAAGGGACGTATTTTATAGAAAATAAACAAGAGTAGTAGAACATCTCCAACTGTTGTGTAAATTTTTTTGTGTAAATCTGATGTGTCTATATATAGATTTACAAAAAAATTCTGGATTATTTATTTTTAACAATCTTTTATTTTACCTATCTTTTATGTAAAAATATATCCCCAATAACAACCAATTATTGTCATGTTTGGACCCCGCATAATTTTTACAAACCTACTTAATATAGGATTGATTTGTTAATTGAATGAGAAAGATGAAGGAGAAAGGAAATATGTTAATGTGACTGTGTAAAAAGGTTACACATTGGTGACGTGGCAGTGTATTTTAACATACGGTTGAAAAAAAATAAATAAATAAAAAATTACGCATTATACGTGGTTGTGTATATTTTACATAAAAAAGTGTTTTAACACACCGTTAGTAAGAGCATCTATATTTTTTTGTGTAAATCTGATGTGTCATGATGAATTTACACAAAATTTTTGGATTATTTAATTTAGTTCCAACGGTTATTTTATACCTTTTGTGTAAAAATATATCTCGAAATGACAATCAACCATGTGTCATGCTACGACCCCATATAACTTTTACAAACCTACTTAATATATGATTAATTTTTTAATGGAATAAGAAAGAGGGATGAGAAAGGAAATATGTTGATCTGGCAGTGTAATAATATTGTGTAAAATACACTACCCTTTTACACATTGGTGATATGATAATATATCTTAACAGATTGTTAGATATGGAAAAAATTTATAAATCATAGGTGGCAATGTATATTTTACACGGGTATTTAAACAGACAGCTAGAGATGCTCTAATGATACTTATTTAAGTTGAAATTTTAGAATAATCATATCATATTTTTATATTTGTCGATTTCGGAATATTAAAGCTGTCAATAATATCATTTTCTTTCTAAAAACATACACTAATTGAGTTCGAAGATTTATATTCCTGATTTTTCAATCATTGAATATGATGTTAAGACCATCTAATAAATGATCCAACTAGTGAATTACTCAATTAAGTAAAGTGAACTTTGACTTCCATGAATTAAAAACAAAACATCGTCTCTAATATCTTTACTTTATACACGCCACTCCAATCTCTTGTAAAGTTAGGAAAGCATATGCCTAAAACTTTATATCACACCACTATCATTTAAAGTCGGACAAAATATATATTGATTCAAACAAAATAATATCATTTTCTTTCTAAAAACATACACTAATTGAGTTCGAAGATTTATATTCCTGATTTTTCAATCATTGAATATGATGTTAAGACCATCTAATAAATGATCCAACTAGTGAATTACTCAATTAAGTAAAGTGAACTTTGACTTCCATGAATTAAAAACAAAACATCGTCTCTAATATCTTTACTTTATACACGCCACTCCAATCTCTTGTAAAGTTAGGAAAGCATATGCCTAAAACTTTATATCACACCACTATCATTTAAAGTCGGACAAAATATATATTGATTCAAACAAAATAATATCATTTTCTTTCTAAAAACATACACTAATTGAGTTCGAAGATTTATATTCCTGATTTTTCAATCATTGAATATGATGTTAAGACCATCTAATAAATGATCCAACTAGTGAATTACTCAATTAAGTAAAGTGAACTTTGACTTCCATGAATTAAAAACAAAACATCGTCTCTAATATCTTTACTTTATACACGCCACTCCAATCTCTTGTAAAGTTAGGAAAGCATATGCCTAAAACTTTATATCACACCACTATCATTTAAAGTCGGACAAAATATATATTGATTCAAACAAAAGATTTTTTTTGGATAATGTAAGAAGATTATACTTTTGGAAGTGTAATAATGGTTTGGAAAATAAGTCACTCTTTTCTTTTTACTTTTCTCCGAGGAAAACTGTAATCTTCCCTTTATGAGAAAACTGTAGTTTTGGCAATTTATCACTAACATGACAACAAAATCATTGGACAAAACATTTTATATAATAAGAGTCATTACACTAACCTCTTTTAAAATTTGGTCAAATTACACCGACCTCATTTATCAAATAATAATAATTTTTCTCGAAATTTGTATACGTATAACAAAACTTCCCCTCCATTAATAAAAAATACTGTTACTAATAAAAAATGATGATGTTATTAATTTTTTATTTTCAAATTCCCATTCTCCCTCTCAAAAATATGTAAATAAATTAACTACAATGTCTAAAATACCCTCATAATTATTTTTCCCCTCTCTCCTCAAATTCTCTCTCCAATCCCGTCTCTCTGCTCTCTTTCCTCAATCAAAAAACCAAAACTACCCTTCTCCACATACCCTTCTCCATATTTTATACCCTTAACTGCCAACAACAATAATTCCCACGAAGGCAAATTAAGCAGCATTTATTTCAAATTGATTTAGAGAAATCATTGAACTCCGGAAGTCTTTATAAGTTGGAGAGGACACCACAGAAGTAATCACATTTATCTCAATAATTTAGAAGAATTGCAAAGTAGGTTTCCGGATTTCAATTTGATTTAGTGATCTTTGAAATCCCCTTTCTTCTCCACAGGTTAACGACCTTCCTCGAAACGCTGGTTGACGACGATGACCACCACCCGCTGCTCAAAACGGCCGCCGCGTCTACCTCTCCCTCTTTGAAGCCTTGGAGAGATCCCACGGTGACTGGTCTTCGAAACGGGGAACAAGAATTTCGATGGCGGTACAGAGGACGGCGACTTGTGATGAAGATCGAGGCAGCTGGTGCTAACGAGCAAGGCAGTGCTCAGTGATGATGATCCCACGGTGAGCACTGATTTCCGGCGTGAAGCGGAGGGATCGGCAATGAAGCCGTGAGCAAGGATTGACAGAGAACCGGCAGAGGTGGTCTCTGTAATGCCCGCCGTTGATGAAGACGGTGCCGTCAGCCGTTCATCCTTGCCCATCGTCATTGTCCGTCGCCGTAACTGGTCGTGCTTGCCGTCATCCTTCTGGTTTACATCCTTTCACCGGATTCATTTGACGCTGGTTAGTTCCATCATCGCCGGTGGGTTCTTCATTGCTCCGGCAATGAGGACTGTGAGGATGAGAGTGCCCCGCTATGTTTGGTCACTGAACTGATGAATGAATACTGGGGATTTTCGTTGGGAACGTCTTTGATATTTGACGTTCAGTACATGGAACACGGCCAGTTTAAACCTCTCCCTGTATTTTCTATATCTTTCTATACATGCTTAATTTCGGCTAACCAAGCTCACACACGGCGAGCTCCAAGCGTCGACAGCGCCAAGTTCATATCGGCGAGCTCCAAGCAAGACGAACCAACTGTTAGCTCCATTGATTCCGACGGCGATTGCTTGTGTTATTTGTTACAGGCAGTGGCTTCTGTTGAGGCTGAAGGATAGATTTTGGGTCTTTTTGTCTTTTCAAATTCCATTGAGTTTGTAGCGTGTGTGCATATATAATAAGGACAAAAATATAATTTCAATATAACAATTAACCTATTCATCCTGATGTTATGATAGGAAAAGTCATTGTTATCTCACAAATAAAAACGAAAGTAAGTAAAACACGACAAATTTTAAGCCTCCTATGTAATAAGCTCCTTAAAAAAATATCCTACGATTGAGAAAGACAAGGTTGTACTTTCCCTTGTTAATTTTGAACCAGTTGTTCCACTCATATGACTCATTTGCCACTGCCGACCAATACAATTGAAAATAAATGAAATAAACAAAATTACCCAACAGTCCTGGTACCTTTTGGTACCTTAATCAACTTGGGTCGTTGGCACCTAAATAATGAGTCATGTGATACCACCTCATCGTCCTTTAGCAGACGGTCAATTTTGTCTAAAGACCAGATAGTATACCACACCCTCAATATCAATAATACCACCCTGTTCTTCCTAGCCACTGAGAATCAAAGAACTCAGATTCAATTATATCATTTTTGAACCTCAATATCAATTTTTTATGTCCACTATTAATTATCACATCACGACATGTATAAGAAGTCGTCAATTATATTATTTTTTAAAATTCATTCGATTCTATAATTTTAAAATGGATGCTTCACAACTCCTCTTGTAACTTAAGGTTATGTTATTTCAATTTAAAATATTTTTAGTTAATAATAACTCATTCCTTCTCCTTGTTAGCAATTTTTTGAACCACCAACGCTTAACTATTATACTATTTAATAAAATTAAAATTAAACAATGAAATTTTTAGTAGTAATGTATTAATATCCATTAATATAATAAGCAATTATATCTGTATCACTAACAGTTAGATAAATTCTTAGAGTTGATTAAAGTTAAAAACTTCCCTTTTGACTTAAAATATAGGTTTTTTTTTTTCGTGTGGGCTAAATACTATGCATTACAAAATGAAATTAATATACATATAATGAAAAATAAAACGTCTAATACTTGATTAAATTAATAAAAATGTTAGGTTTTTAAGTTTTTTTTTTTTTTTTCCTGACAAACAATAATGACCATACATGCTGCTGAAACTGGCCTTTTCAATTTCATGGTCCATATTGTTTTATTCTAATGACATGACAATCTGGTTAAAAAAATTAAAAAATACTATTCATTCCTCCTTGAGTCCTCGTATTTGCTCGGTTGTACCCATTGGTCCCTATCCCTTGAAATAGACCTTTGTCTTATTTATTAAAATGGATTATATATATATATATATATATATCCCGATTTTAGGAAACTATTTTTATAATTTACTCAAAAATAGTTTTTGCTTTTCGAGTATTTAAAAATTGTTTTTAAAACAACTTAACCAAACAATATTTACTGCATGAGTTGTAGTTTTGCTTGTACAAATTAGACATTCTTAAATGCAATTGTACATATATAATATCTGATTTTGGAAAGAGGCGACAATTTTTTTAATTAAACTTTTTAGTTAATGTTAGTGCTTTTTTAACCTGTGCGTAGAAATAATAACACATAATGGAGATAATAATTAGGAGAACAAAATTAGGATAAGAATTACAAACATTGTACAAAATTAATCAAAGCAAAAAAACACACATAGTGCCCAAAGGGCACACTTATGTAGCAGACCCAATAAAAGCAAAAAAAAAAAAAAAAGAAAAAAAAGAAAAAAACGAAAATGTAAATGCCCCTATAAAGGGTATTTCCGTTATTCCACACTAAATAAGGACCAATAGATACTGCTCACGTGTCTATCCGCACGTCTCAGACCGATGCTTCAATAGCCAACGCATTGCCCACAACTTCGACGCTAGGAGTAGCTGTGGTTGACTTCAACGTAATACCTAAACTTCTCCTCCTAACCTCGTCCACAAAGGCTTGCATATTCCGGTCGGATGAGCCACCCTCCGCCACCGTCTCCTCTGCCGCCTTCTTCCACTTCAAGGCGTTCTGCTTCATCTCCTCGGCCTTCGGTCCACTAGTCGCCTCTTTTAGACACTGCACAATCTCATCCCTCGGAATTATCCTGTCCTCAGCCTCACCCCTACACATTCTGATCCCTACTTTGAACACATCCACCAAATACACAGCATCAGTCACTTGGTCACCCCATTGCGGGAACGCCACCACCGGCATCCCGAGCGATAGAGCCTCCATCGACGAGTTCCAACCGCAGTGAGTCACGAAACACGCGGTCGAGGGATGAGACAAAACCGCCTCTTGTGGACTCCATTGCACCACCTTACCCCTATCCCCACACTTCTCCAAGAACCCCTCCGGCAAAACAAGCAATTCTAGACCAGCATCCTTGTGGGGTGGCTTCATGACCCACAAAAACGACACATCCGAGTTCAGAAGCCCATATGCAATCTCATCAACTTGCTCTTGCTTCAAGTAAACAACACTACCAAAAGAAATATACACCACGGAGGAGGCCGGCCTCGAGTCAAGCCACTCCATGCAGTCGTCCGCCTTCATGAAGTCGCCCTTGACGGCGGAGTTTGGTGCTTTAGGGTTCTTGAACAAAGGCCCCACTGGCTTGATAGGGCTGATTTTAGACATGAATTCAATCACCTCAGGCTCTAGCTCTTGGAAAGTGTCCATCAATATGCAAAATGGTTTTGACAAGTTTTTGTACTGTCCCAAAATTGCCCTTCTCAAGAAAGGGTAAGGAGTGGTAGGGTACAAGAAGCTAGCCACTTCATCATGCTTCAAGAGAGGCATGCATGGCAATTGGACATCAATGAAAGGCTCACTCTCGCTTGGAAATGGGACTAACCCATGATAGTAATGGTAGTAAGTTGAGAAACAAGCACAGGATTGGACCCAAAGCATGGCACTAGGGATGTTAAGGCTCTCGGCAACGTCGGAAACCCATGGAATGAAAGGGTTGTTGATGAGGCAGGAGACCGGGCGGTCCTCATCTGCGTGTTTCTTGAGCATCTTGGGAAGCAATTCTTTGCCAACAAGCTCGAGTTGTGGCAAGTACTGGTCAAGGTCTTGGCGTCGGGGCTCGTCCTCGTCCCATCCATCTTCGAAGAACTCGAATCGGATCCATCCGTCGCCCACCGGAGTGGGCTCAGCGGTGCAGTTGCTGGCTTTTCGCATCGCCTTGCCGATGCTTTCGGGTGTGGAGAAGGTGACATAGAGACCTTTTGAAGCTAGACGCTTGCCTAGCCTTAGTAGAGGGTTGACATGTCCTTGGCCTGGGAAGGACACAAGGAAGACATGAACAACAGCTTCAGAACCCATTGTTTAATTAATGAACTTCTCAAGTGAGAGAAAGTGTGTTGTGTGTGTGAGAGAGATAGAGGTGGTGTGGATTGGATGGAGGGAAATGAGGAAGAGAATGCAATTTATACTAGCATTGATGAATGCTTCTAATATTCAAGTTTTCAAAGTGGAATGACTGACTGTTAGCTAGCTAACATTTGTGTGCTTGACAGTTTGGTTTGCGAGACCAAAGCAAACTTGATATGTATGAAACAAGTAGAATAATATTCTAGTCACACGAATTCTATATCATCTTGATTATGTCTTCTGATTCGGTAGTGATACGTAAGAGCTACTGTAATTTATAATAAGGACAAGAGAATCAAAAAAGATTCTCTGAATTAACACCGAATTTGACGTGATTGGTTATACTTATTATCACTTATTAAATAATTATTTTTTAAAAATTATTTAAGTAGATGAGGTGAACAAAAACACGTAAAATTTAAAATTTATTCGGATAAATCATTTGGTGAGTAATTTAACACGAAAACTCTTCATGATTGACTTATGCCAAGTCATTTATCAAGAAATAAATAATTAAATAAAAATGGTTGTTTTTTATATGTTCGGCGCCAATGAACATACATACAAATTCTCATTTTTTATGTATCAACCGAATTAAGAGTTTTTATGTTTATTGTAGAACTTGTCGTTTTTATCAGCATACCACGAATAATATATTGTAAATTGTAACTTTCTCTTTGATGTATACATCAAATATGTTAGCTGTAATGTACCAGCAGTAATTGCTCATTTAAGCAATGTAAAAAAAGTGATACTGGTGATTCGTGACCGCGAGTCATAATAGTATCATGTTGATTTAAGGATATTTTATTTTAATAATTGTGTGAGGAACCTCAACAATAACCCGACTTATTTATTAAACATGTTACACGTGTAACCCATTTAATGACTTATTTAATAAAACGAAACATTATATTATTTAAATTATTAATAATACTCGATCAAATAATAAATACTATAAAAACATAAATTTCAATCTAATCAAATTACTAAATAATCTCTAATCTACAAAAGAATAAATTATAAGATACAAGTTTAGAAAGTTATTAAGAACTTAATTAAGTAGAAATTTATTTATGACATGTATAATTAAACGAGTATAAATGGGTTACACAGGTTGAACCCTTCAACCCAAACACGACACGATTAATTAAACAGGTTAATCGTGTCAACCTCTTTACAATCTGAACTCATTTAAAGTTAACCCAAATCAACTCAACTCGTAACGTCTTGACGGATCGTGTCAAACTTTGCCACTTAAATGTAATGATCTAAATTTAGACATGTTACACAAAGGAAGGAAGTTATGGTGCAAGTATGTGCATGGATTAAATAAGGATAGGTTTACTCCTAATATATCTCACCACCAATATTAATAATTATCTACATTTATCATTAATTTTTTAAATACAAAATTATTGTGACATAGTGTATCTTTTCTACCTTATAAAATGGATAGTGAAAATCCCCAAAAGAATAATGAAGGCGAGCATGAGATTAACCATTTTGAACTGTCTTTTTCCCCTCACCTCTCGAATCCAAGTCAATCCCATGGTTCACCATGCGTGTGAGAGATTAACCGTTTTGAATTATAATTTTCGCCCACCTCTCGAATCCAAGTCAATCACATTCAACCATTGGCGTGTGAGATTAGCCATTTTAAATTATGGGTCTTCCTTCTCACCTCTCGGATCCAAGTCAATCACATTCCATGGATAAAGAATAAAAAAATAAAAAATAAAAAAAAAAAAAAAAAAAGTCCACCAATTTGATTGTATGGCCTTTTCCATTTTTTTTTTTTTTTTTCTAATAACTAAAATCTTAAATTCTAAAGGAACATCTGATTTTACATGTAATTTCCCTTTATTTTTTCTTATTCACAATCACCTCAAAAGAATTTCAATTAATTTCATTTAAAACATTAAAAAGTATACCTAGGAGGTCTGTTTTCAAGTTGCCCTTTTCTTTTGTTTCCCCTTCCTTTCCCTTCCCTCCATAAATCCACCAAAAAGTTCCAGTTACTTTGTGGCAACCTTATGGGCGGATGTGTGTGAGTATGTGCAGGTGATATCAGTAGGCTACCATATTGGGTGAGTTATAGGTGCACAATCCCACATTACCTGGATATAAGTGGCGTAAGTATGTATTATTATAGATTCAACATCCTTCTATAACACAATACATTTTAAAGCCGTGATGACCGTGAGCTCACCAGAACTTCGAAGTTAAGCCTGTTTAACTTGGAGTAGTACCAGGATGGGTGACTCTTGGGAAGTCTCTGGTTCAGGAAAGCCAAAAGCGGACAGTATTGTGTCTGAATAGGGTAAGAGTTGTTATAAATGGTATCAGAGTCTAACCCAGCCGAAAGTGTGGCCAACGGGGACGTTGGGGCCTAAAGGGAGTGATTGTGGCAACCTTGTGGGCAAGTGTGTGTGAGGGCGTGTAAGTCGCACCAGTAGGCTACCACACAGGGCGAGCTACAAATGCACAATCCCATATCGCTTGGGTGTGGATTGGGCAAGTGCTATATGTAGATTCAACACCCTTCAAGAGGGGTGATTATGGTGACCTTGTGGGCGTGAGCATGTGCAGGTGGCATATATAACACCCTTTTATGATATAAAATGTTGTGATAATTGTGAACCTACCAGAATTCCGGAATTAAGCGTGCTTAACTTGGAGTAATACCAAAATGGGTGACCTCCTAAAAAGTTTCTGGTCCAAAAAAATTAAAAGCGAACAATGTTATGACTGACTAGAGTGAGGATTGTTACACATTTAGATTGCGAACATGTTTTATTTGATCCATCACAAGCTTGATTTTATTCGAAATCCATGTGCATGCACATTACTTGTCTTATTTTTAACATTGTATTTTGCAATGTTCATCAAGTAAAACATGTCTAGTTCTTTGTTTCCTACCAATAATTTGCATGGACTAGATTAAAGCCCCTTGTTAAACCAAAAATTTTATGCAGCCATTGAAAGCGATACTAGAATACAAACATGGGTTATTTTCTTTAATATGTCTTATTTCGATCTGTAGCTACTACACTATATATGTTGCTCCATGATCAATATACTTGTGGTCTAGAAGATGATACTCGATAGTCATGATAATTTTTTCATGGCACACATCAAATAATAATTATAAAAATAAATAAAAAATAATGCATGGATTGAAATGAATTTATTTATTAGACTGTGGATCCACTTATTTTCATATAATTTTAAAGTAATAAACCTATAAATTTGGTTGGACTACTCCATTGATATTCTACATATAAAATCAAATGAGACTTGATGGGATTGTAAGGTAATTGATTCATTCTATATAAAATTTTGTGACATGAATGTCTACAATTACATGTTATGTCAATTTTATGAATAATTGTACAAGTACTTGCATGTGTAGGATGGGTGGGATTATACATATATCTGATTAATGGACAACAAAATGTTAGGTGGTTGATGCAACAATTAACTTACCTGAAAACAAAAGATGAACCCATAATTACTTTGATTTAACCATCCGTCCCATCTACCAGTTCATTTCCTCCTTAGCAGTCAATTAAGGTTTCATTTCACATATATCATCAAAAAATAATGGACCATTTAATATTCAATGAAACAATCATTCATTAGTTGACTGATTGACCTAAAAAATGATTGGAATATCGGATGCCTCATGTAGTCACATGCTTACAATAAGTTCACTTGTTAGCAAGTGTTTCTACCCAGGAGGGTTGGAGGAAAAAAATTTAGAGTTCTTCATGAGGCATCTCAGTTATTATTATTCAGTCAGAATATTGTGTAACTTTTATTTTTACTTTAAAAGGAGAGGGAATACTTTCCAATCTATTAACTTTTCATTGTACCTGAGAGAATCCAAGTTTTTAAAAGCAGAAATTAAAAAAAGAAATAAAAAAAAGGGCGTTGGATGGCGACATTTAGTTCTTACAGTGAATCCTAATTATAATAAGATTAGTGAATGATTAATGCTGAAACATTTTTATTATTATCTTAGCAGTTTAAGTTATGACGAGTATCATTGTCTAAAGCAATCATGTTTCAGGCTAAGAATAAAAATAAAATCATATTCCAGGCCGGTACAACCATGAGTCCAAGAAATACAACACAAATTAATATATATAGTCAATAGCTAGAAGGGAGGTTCAGTAACTCATACAGTACTATTTAATATTTTTCCAAGTTGGGTTGATAAAAGTTGTTACATACATGTCCAATTCTTCTATAGTTACAGACCCATGCACTTTCTTTTTGTCCAGAATGTACGAGAATATAATTTTATATTAGTTGTCAATTTTAAAAAATTTGACAAATAATCTTTTTTAGTTAAAGTATTGGAAGGAAACATCTAATATGGGATATATATAATATATAATATAAGTATATAAAAGGAATATAATTAATTGACCTTATATAATTCAAAAATAAAATACGATAATGAGTCAAAAATTTTAAAGAGAACATCTAATATTGAACAAAGGAGTGATATTTAAGTTAATGGGTAGTGTGGAGCTTGGTAGGTACTGTACACCAAGCCCCAACTCTGCGAGGGTATGTATTCATTCTGAACTCTCTGTTTTTGCTGTTGTTTTTTTTTGTCATCATAGTGAAAATTCCTGCAACCCTTGGACGTAACCCTGATTTTTGATGAACCAAATAAAATCTGTGTATTTTTGTTGTGTGTGTATTTGATTTATTTCTTGTGTTTTGTGTTTGAACTAAACACAATATCAGAGTCCACAAAGTCCAATTCTATCTTATTGATAATCACTAGGATAAATTACACTAACAAGTGAATTTCAATAAGGCTCCTCAAAATTTACACATACCCTTCCTAGGACTTCAAAAATTATACCCATTTTCACTTAAAATGAAACTTGGTAATAGTTTCTTTTCTCCATTAACAATCAAAGTTGGTCAAGGAGGGAAATTAATGTCAAGTGATGGAAATATGTTTAAATTTCAATATTATCCCCATTTTAGACACATTTACTATAATTTGGGATCCATATTAT